CACCTTAGCCCTTAGCCAAACAGATGACAGTGAGACTATGAAACAACAATACAGTTTTTGATTGCACTTCGGTGCCATATTAGACGATGAAACTTACCTTAGGATACTTATAGTTGCTTAGCTGATAAAAACTGTCTTCAGTGAGCATTGGTTTAGTTGAATTGCGTTGCCTTGTGTGCAAGTAGTTGTTTAACTGCCAAAAAATCATGTCAAGTAAATTGCTGCGCCAAGTAAGCAATAGGAGAAACTAAAAAAATTTTTTGAACTGAGCATTTGCAGAAAAAAAACTGCTATTTATGCAGACACTTTTCATATCATTCTCTGTTCCAAAACGATTCCGTTTGATTCCTACAATCAACAAGTAAACAGCCGTGTATTCAGCTGTATTCAGCCACTGTAATTAAAATATTTCATTTCCTTTTTGCTAAAATTCCTGTATTTGATTCTGTGCGATTGTGTTTTCACTTTCCTCTTGGCTCTATTCAGGCACTTGTTCAAAGCGTAGCTTCTTAGGTTCCAGATGTCGCGCCATCGAATACTGCGTGTTTGCCACCGCTTGACTTTGCTGGGTCTGCCAGCTGGTTTAAACTTTAGTTCTGCAAGCACCCCTCGACTAGATCATGTTCCCCTATCATGTTTAAAATTCTTTAATTTTTATCTGCATCTGTAATGTTTCGGATACCTAAAATGGATTAAACAATTACCAAGTTCTTTCATGTACCGTTTAAGATAAATGTCTGCTTTGGTTTTTCTTTCTGGCTTGGAACTACTTTATTTTTCAGTCAACGGTTTTTATGACCCACCAACAGTGATTCTACTAAAATTACCAGGACCGTTTTGACCTCCCATTCCATTAATTATCACCTTCTGTCCTCAAAACCTCCATCACTTCTGTGAAGAAACAGTGGACTGGATCTGCTGAAACGGATCTGCAGCTTTCAAACTTTTGCCAAAACTTGTTTCAGTTACAGTAACTGCTTTAAACCTAAGCACCTTTTTCCGCTTCTTCTAAAATGGAACATTACCTCCCCAGTATGGCTTTTATTTGCTGATACCCTGCCTTTCATTTTTTTGTGATAGATTTTGATCGCGGCTCTATTTGATCACTAGAGATTTAGATTTTCTATCTGCTTTTCCTCTATTTTCATCTTGCGTTAAAGTTTTACTTTAAGCCTCAGTACTATTTCACAACACTACTGGAAAAATGGTAGGATGGTAAACGATTACGTTTTGTAACTTTAACTTTAAACAGTCATAAAATTATCTTACTTACAGTTTCTCTACTTTTTTTCGTCTCCTGACCAGCTCCAAGATATCTTCATGATCATCGTTTAGCTGCGCATGTAGGACTTATTGCTCCACCATATAAAGTGATTTAGAAAAAGTACCGGGGAAGGCCTTTTTGAAAATTTATGTATACAAGATGTTCGACATCATCCTGCATGCTTTTTCCTGTCAACATCTCAAAATTCCCTCAAATTTTATAAAACGGTAAAGTTAGGCGCCAGAATTATGAAACTATAAAAAAAAATTACCTTAGCTAATTGTTTGCATTCAAAATTTACACATTTTCGAGTTATTGGAATTTAGCGAAGTTGGACCGAGCATGACCAGCCTTAAAAACCTATAACTTTACTTTTTAGAAGATTAAATTTCTCTTGATCGCGTCATGAGGTGTCTGTTATATAGCCTGAATTTTCTTAAAAGTCTAAGTTTTTCTGGACTACTGAACGAATAACAACAAGTTGTCACTTTGAATCGATTTAAAAAACATCGGGTTCTTGACTTTTTTTTTTTTGAAATCATTCTTAAAGTTGCAAACGGTGGCTACGATTAGTTTTTGCTTTCTGTGGGAGTACATGCTGGGGAATTTGAATCATATAAGCTTTTTCACTTACTTATTATCTTTCACTACGTCGCAACTGTTAGGCTAAGAAACGAAGTGTGACGGCAATGAAAAGAGACGAAATTTTTTACTGCAAAGAAAAGGAGAAACTGGATTCAAGGTTGCCAAGAACATTGTGGTAAAAACACTAATATGCAGTTATAAGCATCTCTAGAGCAGCATCAGCGTGGTTCAGATTTCTTTGATGCAGTAGACCTACATTAATATTTCTGGGTAATTGTTTGAAAGAATATGTTTAACGATTACAGCCAAACTTTCGAATCAGGTTTAACTCGGTCACAGACAATTATTATGAGAAAAAATTAAAATTTAAAAATTTTTTTGCAATTATTGACATTTTTAGGACATTAAAGAAGTAACTTTTTTTATTCAGAAGATAAAAAATTTCTTTAAACTAAATTTTTTTTAAAAACTTTGTAAAATTTTCACAGTCAGTCAGGCAATTTTTGCTTTGCTATGACAGCGAAAAATCAAGTCCTTGTTAAGTTGTGCTTATGGAAGTGCTTCTTTTGGTGCTCAAAAAAGCTGCAATAAGGAAAAACAAATACACCAAAAAATGTTTGTGGTTTACAAATAGTTTGTTTGATTAGCCTTAGTACAACTTGATAGCATCATCGAACAGACTAATTTCAACGTCTCTTATAACTAAATACTATATCTTACGTGTTCAGTATCATCTGTGTACAACACAAAATTTACAGTAAAATCAGTATCAAAAGTTTTGTTTGTACGTGTGTATTCGTGTAAATATTTCAGATACCTTTTTTCAAGGTTTTCTATCGCTGACTTTTTATGTATAATCATGCAGAAGAATGCAACAGTAGACATAATCAAACAAATTTTTTCAACTTACACATCTCTTCCGTTGTTGAAACGCGTGGGTTTTTTACCATTTGTTGCGGTAAGCTGGTTTTACATCAGACGTTCCTGCTGAAGCTTTGCCTTCTTTTTTTTCTCTCTGTACAGCTACGATAGGATGACAAAGTACGATGAATTGCTTTCCTAATATAGTAGAATAAACTGATTGCAAATAGTTAAAATATGCAGGAAAATGCTGTGAATTGCCTCATCAGTATATTATATATATGTACACGCACCTAATGCCGTTTTGCTTATTGCTGGATTTCTCCTCTTGTCCTCCCCACACGAAAAAATAATCACAAGAGGATATATTACTTTTTTTCTAGAAGACTTTTAGAATAAGAATGGCTGCTACAAGAATCTCTTTACAAATTTTCAAAGCATTTACTAAATAGTCTCTAAAAGACGCTGATGATCCTAAGAAGCATAAGATAATGCATAATAAAAGTCAATTTTTCTCTGATGAATACATGGTAATTTTGTTCCCAAAATGACACGGAAAAACAGCCGGAAGAAATGTGTGAAGTACCTATGGCGACTTTGCCATGAAACTTGGTCAAACTTAGACTCACTCTCAAATGTGAGTCTATCTTGTATACTAGATCTAAGTAAATGTTTATTTAGATTGACAATTGTCAACACCGTTTTACAAACACTGAACATTAACGTGTTGGCAAAATTGTTATGGTTGTCAGATAGTTCATTTCGATCTTCTGATACATATCTGACTTTAAAAAAAAAAAAGTGTTTCTGAGGTTGTTAAACCCAATTATTTTTAGTAAACGACCTCACTGTATACAAATCGTAAGACCAGGTTACAAATTAACATCGAATACAGCATTCAAAACGTTGCAGACAGAATAAATGGTCACTGAAGTGGTATCGTGAAAATGTTAGTTATCCGGTCAGGCA